CACATACAATTCAGTGAATTAGTGGCAAAATATATGCATTCATTGCGTAATGCTTTGCGAATTGACGCCAGTTTGCAGTGTTTGCATACAAATGGCACTCAATTTGATTATATTTAAGCAATTGATTGATAAATACACGAAATATTGGCTTTAAATGACATTTTTATTAATATTTGTAACAATTTATAGCAATATATTTACAATGATTGGCAATAAATATACAAAACATATGCGAATTGAGTGAATGAGCCGTTAGTTCACAACAATCTAATCCACTCGTCGGTCGTGTATCTCATCTCTTGATCCATAAAAAGAGGGATATCTTGGATGTGGAAGTTGTCGTGTCTTTGATACGACTCATCCATCGGAGGTGAGGGCGACGCGGGTCTGGCCTTCGCTGTCATCACACTTTGAGTGGTCTTTGGTTTCTTTGGCGGACACACGACTGCCTCATCCTCGGCGACACTTCTCTTCCTCTTGAGTGTGGAAGACATTTGTGATTGAATTGAGTGATAATCCGTTGTATCTGAAGGTATCGACTGAAAGAGTGGGCAAATGGCGACGGAATGTATGACTGCTTTGAAGCCAAACTAGAAAATGAGTAGAATTTTAAGGGAAAGGCGGGGCTTAGCACTGATTCGACCAATGGTTGAGTCGCTATTTCACTCATTTTCTGCATTTTGTATTCAGACTGTTATACTCCTATCGATACCATCGATATCGCGATATAAATATCGTTGTCATCAATGCGTGCACTGACTGGGGGTTCACTTTCATTGCACTGCTCTCACCTTAACATACACTCAATGCTAATGCATAGCAATAGACCGCATACTGTCGTGTAGTTAAGCCATTCACTTCTGAAAGGGGTTCCGGTTTGATTATAATCAATGTACCGACAATGTGCCTTGGTCACTATGTGGTCAACTATAGTAAGGTTTAGGTATATATATATTGTATATTTATGAACTGTAGGTATATATATATATATAGGGAGTTGGATGTCGTTGTGGTTATGGATGAACTCGAATGAACCAGTGGTTGGAACCGATGGGAACTGATTGCCGCAATAGTCTATACAATTGCATCCCATATACAGTACCATGCTCATATTTGTCACACAATTACCCCCATTTATAGATGCAGTGAAAAGTGAGTGATTTGTTGCCAAAAGTGCATAAATGGTGGGTCACTGGCAGTGGTGTTTAGTCTTGAGGCNATGCTCATATTTGTCACACAATTACCCCCATTTATAGATGCAGTGAAAAGTGAGTGATTTGTTGCCAAAAGTGCATAAATGGTGGGTCACTGGCAGTGGTGTTTAGTCTTGAGGCCAATAGTGGCCACCAATTGGTTGACTGTCTTTGAGTGATAACATGGATCCAAATGAATGGTTGGACACACGAGTGATAAGAGTTTATTTGTATTCGCGATAACAATGTGTTTATATTCACAAAGTATTGCATGAATTGTCGTCAATACTGAACTGAAAACTTTAGATAAAGTTTTGTAAACTTAAGTGAAATGAATAGAAAGTATGAAATGAATGAATAGATTGAAGTTTTTATTACAATTCAAGTGAATTTGAGTTGAAATATAGCTTTGAGTATAAGTGTTATGGAAATAGCTTTATATCACAAACAATATTATTGCAGATTCTGTTCACACGGAATACTCTATTATATATGGATATTAAGTACACAATAAGTAAATAAATATAACAATAAGTCAATTATTATAATTTGTACGCAAATGTTAAAATTAAGTAGATTAATGAAAAGTCTTGTCAGAGAACCTTGGTAGTCTAGCCGTCCATTTGACACATACTGTTTTATAAATGACTATTTTAAGCAAAATATTATTTATCTATTGATTGAAAATTAAGAAAATTAGTTAATTGGCTGTGAAATGATTGCTTGATTGAGACAAATGTTGCGTTTATACCAAACCTTATGTTAAATATTTGTAAGAATTTCTGATAAGTATACTATCCTTCAAAAAGTATCCAAAACTACAAACGTAAAGCAAATTAAAGCTATAATTTAACCAATATTTGTGTAATCAAGTTATTTGTTTGCAATATTTTGTGCCAAACTTTTTTTGGAGATTAAATTAATAAACAATAATACAAAACATAATATTTTATCACATTTTAAACCATAATTCTATTGACGACCAGAAGGTACTGTTGACCAGAGTTTTGTACATCAATTGCAATGAGAATTGTGTTATAAAACTAATTAACAAAGACTGCATACTTCTCGACAAAATGTGATTATCTTGACATCATAACTATAAATCAAAATTTTAAAATTACATTTTTCACTAAACAAAATCACTTTCACTAACTTTTAGCTTTTTACGAATCCTTTAGTGAAAAATGTTTTAAAATGAACTGCTATCGATTACTATTGATTTAAAAATCAGTATACTTACGTTTTTTAATAGTATTTTAGAACATTGGCTTTTACATAGGTTGAACTTTAATTCATATTTTATATACAAAATATATAAACATCAATTAATATAAAGATATGTTTAAGAGATTAATGTAATGTATAGAAAGTTATGTCACTTCAAAGGGTGGATAGAATTGAATCACTGCTTGAATTCAATCATTCAATTCCAACGGTTTATCCGTTTATAACCAATTCATACAACTGTTTAACTATTGCTCTAAAGTGACACAACTTTATATAAATCTCATACGAAATGTCTGTTAGTATAATAAATATGTTAATCAATATATTATGCTTGAGTTAATTGACTACAAATTAGCGACACATTTACAGCTAATACTATGTGAGTAGATATGAGTTGAGCGAATCGGAGGAGACTGATAGCGATCGCCAACTGTCCCGAGACGGGGATCTCGAGGAATGGGAGCTCGAAGAGGACTGAGAGCTCGACCGCGAGCCTCGCCGATAGGGAATGGGACGCTTTCGGGCGCTATTGAGTTAATTAATGTTAGTTTGCATGTTAGTGTTAAAAGCAATAGTTCAAATTTCATGAAATTTATTTCAAACTCAAAACACAATCAAATCAAAGTTAAAATAAGTGCCAAATAATTGATAACAATTAAAATCATAATTAAATCAATTTTAATCAAACAAATGAGTGAAATAAATGATACAAAAAATGTGCCAAAAAATAATGAAAAATAATAATCGTTTTAAATATAAATATAATTTAATGATAAACAAAATGAATGAATTGGAGTCGAGTGTTGGGTGTATTAATTATACCTGGTGATTCTGCGTTTCTCTAGAAAACTCGGGGATCCCTTCCGGCGCGGGATTGAAGGGCTGCGGCTGTCGTGTCGGGACACCGAAGACTTCGATGAAGAACTAGATTTCGAAGACCTATTTATACACAAATATTTGTTAAAGTTTTGGCTAAAACTCATAAAGTATTACAAGAAGTGTTGAATGAATACTAACGCAGAACTTCGCGAGTGATTTGAACTCAAAGAACGGGATCGCGATCTACGCGAACGACTCGATTGTCGGGACCTCTTGTGGTCGGGAGTCAGCGATCGGTTGCTTCTCGATTCGGACCGTTTGTTCTCGTAATGAGTGGAATAGCTTTTGGGCACTTCTTTGGCCCGTTTGGTCTCATAGACAGCACTTTTGAGGCGCTTTGGTTGGGGCTCTCGATCCGACTCACGGCTTGAAGAGCGAGATCTCGATCGTGATTGGGATCGGCGTCGCGACGGCTGCCGCGGAGGAGGACTCGAATGAGTGCTCTCTTTCCTAATCTCTTTGTGTTGTCTGTTATCGCTATGTCTGGAGTCGGGCCTTACATTTGTTGTACTATTTTCGGCCTCTTTTCTCATTTGTTTGATATTCATTTCAATCAAACGACTCGTTTTGGTGCTAATGTCGTCGTTTCCAGCGGTCGACTCCTATTAATTAAAATATTCATTAAAATCATTGAACAAATGGTTATTTAATAAAACACACAATTAAAGAGACATTTAATAAACAAAAGTAATGAATAGTATTCCCACAGAAATACTTACAGAAGTGATGGGAATCTCCTTGAAAATGATGCGTAAGTTTTCAGATATAATAAAATATAACTTAGTTTTGGACTCGATTTAGAGAAATAATAGCTTATAATAATTAAGTCATAATAGTGTTTATACCCTATTCTTACGTCAAATCAATTATTTATTTCTACGAGAATTGCATGAATAGGAGAACAGAGAGACCCAAACAATAAATATTGAATTTAATCATACAATCAATTATTGAGACATACCTTCGGCTCTAAATGAGGTCGAGATTTGTCCCGATTTCGGTCCGCTGAGGGACTATACGATCGTCTCCTGTTGCGGTCGGTCTTCGAGCCGCCATTCTTGCGATTATCTCTGCGATCGTAATGAGAACTATTGGAAGAATCAGAGCTCTCACTATCACTACTGCTTCTGGAGTCCGACTCGGAGTCAGAACCAGAAGACGAAGAATCGCTATATTTATGGCGTTTTATCGAAGACTTATGTCCTTTACTTTTACTCGACTTCTTGTGTTTATCACTTCGTTTGGATTTCGAGGACTTAGTTTTGCTCCTCTTTCTGGACGAGCTATCGTCAGAGGAATCGCTGTCTGAATCGGATTCGCTCTCAGAATCTGAACTCTTATTACGCGATTGCTTTTTATGTGATCTGTCTTTGCGATCACTTTTACTCTTATCGCTACTCTTATGATCTTTTTTATCACTTTTCAAATCCGATTCTTTGAGTGGTTCCGGAAGTAAAGCGTATTTTTTCTGATTGAGGGCCTCTCTGGCCATCGCCTCCTTTGCCTTTCGGGTCGGATCCAGAGACGAACCTTCGATGAAGTTTGAACTGATTCTCAACGCATTCTTCAGGTTATCATTCTTTTTATGGTTCATTTCCGCCAATTTGTGGGTCTCTTTCAGACTATTAATAAATTACATTTTAATTAATCTTAAAGTAATTTTAAAATAAATACAAATTATATCACATTTTCATAACAGGATAAAAATTGTCATATACAGCAATATTTAATGTTTGAATAAAAATTGTATAAAAAATCAAATTCTGTAAAATTCTGATAAATTGCTTCAATGAATGGCTTAAATAAACACAAAATCGACAAATGAATCAAATAAGAGATATCGTAATAATAATAATACAAATAGAAGTAATGAATTGAAAACGAGAATTGAATTGAATTATGTATTCAACGAATGTAATGACATGTAAAGCAATAGCGATGACGAGCCTTACCTCACAATACTCTTGACTTTCATTTGAAGGTTTGTCTCATTATTATTGTTAAAAATGGTATTTTGTTTGAACGACTGATTGAACCGTCGATTTCTATTTCTTTTCCGACGTCTTCTTCGGCGATAGGAACTACTTTTATGTGTCATATCGTTAGCGATGTTAGGGAACGGCAACTGAAGCGGATATGTATTGCAATTAATGGAAGATTCGATAGCCGTCGACGTGGATGTGGTGGCCGTCGATGGCAATGGCAATGGCAATGGAGGACACGATTGCACGGCCGGTGGGAACGACTGTTGGCCAGAGGCGGCCAAAAACAAGGCGCGCAACGAATTTTGCCAAAACTTCTGGAACTCTTGGATACAATTCGGTGAACACATTATCAACCAATTAAGCGATTAAACAAATTATCACTAAATATATTCAATTTAAATTCAATGAACACTTTCTCTATGATTTGGAAGACTTTCGGATATTTATTGCGGAAGACTTGTTAAGGCACTGAACGGAAAGTATGGAAACACTTTATCGCATATATCTCTTAACCAAACATTTTATGCAAATGAGTGGCAAAACATTTGTGGCATTTCTGCAGTGGAAGACTTGGGTTTTCAGTTGAGATTAACATTAAACTCGAGTTAAGTTTTTTCAATCATTGGTTCAAATCATTACAAAAACACAGTTTAGGCGAAACGTCGGCTCATTTGCATCTCAATCGATACAAACAATCAGTTTTGCATTCAATGATTACATGATTTAAACACAAATTAGTTTTCAAATTATAATCACTTTTGATTCATATATTGTCGTTAAATGACAAACAACTCAATCATTTAAGAACAAAGTGGTTGAGAGAGTGCTCTCTCCTCCATCTTCTCTGCTCTCTAATCCCTATCGATATCCCAGTCCTCCTCCGCCGCATCCCTACACTCCACTTGTGCTGAGCATCACTTCAATACATATTCCCATACTTTTTGACTTACGATCTCTTCTACAGCACTACTCTATACACAACACAAACTCTATACAAAACCACTACTCTATAGCTCTGAGCCCTAACTCTAACTGAATAACCGCTCAATAATTGGCTTCTCTATAGCGATGCCATACTCCCTATGGTTTGGATCATCTTCAGTGCGCACCACAAACACCACTCCATCCACGACTAGACTATCAATCGATAGTCAATAAGTTTTCATATATTTGTGGAGTTCATAGATATACTGGTGCTTTGCATCTTATTTTTATTTATGTTTATTATAAATGAATAAAAAATAATATAATATACAATAAAACTCTCTCTCTCTCTCTCTCTCTCTCTCTCTCTCTCTCTATTTCAATAGTCTATTGACAATAGAGTAGAAAAGTTTAATTAAAGTTTCAGAAAATTTATATTACCGAATTACCGGCAATTGATAACTTGTAATATTATATGTCACCAATTATTACTTTTGCATCAAGTGAATCAAGTAACTGAATTAGCTAATTTCAAGTCTATTAAGTTATAAATAAAATAAAAATAATTTCATTGAATACCAAACTAAACACAATTGACTCAACACTTAAATGTTAGAATTAGAGGCACTAAATTGTGCTCATTTTATGAACCAAAACAAAACCAAAAGGTTAAAACCGATCGGTTTCCAAATGAAATACATTATATGTTTCAAAGTATTTATTTTAAATATACAATAATTCAGTTTTAAACCCGTTTTCGGTTAACCGATTGGACCTCCAGTTTGAATAAAACACTTTTCATATACTTTGTAAGCATTAGCAGTAAAACCATTCATTGAGAGCAACAATCAAATAAGTGATTCTTAGACTCAATCAGACATCAAAGACAACAACAAACGGTGTCTTACTTTTGTGGCGAACTGTCGTCTCTATCCATAACCCACTCCTTCTTCCCGCTGTAGTTCTTCTTCTGTTGCATATCTTGAGTCCATTCTCTGCGACGGCTGTCAACCACTCTCTCGATCTCTCCGTCCGAATAGCTTAAGACACCAACAAATGAGTTAGTAATCGGTTATTACATCAGTGCTTAAGAGGAATGTATGGCAAGTGATGGATTACTGACCCCTGGCTCTCCATATCCTCTGTGAGCTGAAGACATTTGAGTTCAATCTGTCGTTTGTTCTGATGCTCTAAGATCTCTTGATTGGGAACTCTATTCAACTCCCGCTCCAGACGTTTGAAGTCGTCTTCGCTCTTGTATTGAATCTTATCCTTCATTTGCTTCACAAAAGACATATTCCTCTGGACGTAGCCATTGGTACCGCTGCCACGAGCCGTCTGTAAACCGATTCCGTTATACATGTCTGACGCCCACGAGGTATGCGATTACTGTTATCACCACAAGGATCTGATCCAACAATAATTGGTGTTAAATATTGGCATTAAATGAGTCAACACTGCNCTCAAAATAACGAATTGCAGAGAATTATGTGGTAATCAACAAACGGATCTAAATATCTATTTATCTAATTATTTATTTTTTGCAATAAAACTCGTTTTTCATTGTATTTTGTATGAAATATATTTATTGATTATTTTTATATTCATTTGAATCGCTTTTGTGTTTAACTTTACGAATTTTTTACAGAATATTTCGACAAATGTTTTGATTAATAATAAAGTTTTAAAACTAACTTATATTTAGTTCATGTGTTTCTTAGTCTTATGTGATTTTATTTTTAGCAATACTTCTCATTCATATAGTAATATCCATTTGAACTGAGAGTAGAGACGATTAGACGTCACTCACGATGTGACCAATCAGTGAACAGGGATTTGAGAGCACATCAAGTTTGGGTGCGCGGACAGTGAGGCCTACAGTCACTATAGTCAGTGAACGCCATTTCCTCTCATAACTCAACTCTCAAATCGTGTTTAATAAACAAATAATCCGTTTGTATCGCAAACTATGGTTAAAAAATTTGGTAAAATAGTGGTTCAAAAGAGGAAGAATAGTGAGACCCATGATGTGACGGGTCCTCCGCTCAAGAAGTTTAAAGTTATGGAAAGTGTGGACAAAGCGAAGGACAAACCCTCGACTTCCAGTGCATCGATGTATGAATCCTATCAGAGACACAACAACTTCCAGAGTGAAGACATGAGTCAATTCATGCAAGAATTCAGAGCCGATGACGAGTTCCGAAGACTCTTCCACTTCCACTTCCACTTTCACTGATGTACTGATGTCTCATCCAATCATTCAATTAATATTTTATGTTTTTGTTTATTATATCAAAATATACACTTTTTATATACATTACGACTAAAGTTAGTTAACTTTATTTTGTTATAATCATGAAACATTATTACAATTATGATTTTGTTTAACGTTTAAAAAGTTTGTATTTTACACACATTCACACCAACACTAGAGACTTATGTTTTTTAGCCATATATTTCATATAAATCTCTAATCTCCTAAAAGAATTAATTTAAAAATCATTTACTAAAAATGTAATTCATTTGTTTCACATTTAATATTAATATAATGAATGATTGAATAAATTGTGAAGTTTTAAAAAATTTGTGGTAATATTGTCTATCATTACCGCATGAATTAAGTGAACAAAACTGTATGAATTGTTGTAAATATATCATTTGATGTACAGTATAGCAAATTTCAATAATCAAATGATTACAATTAGCAAGCTCCTACAATTATAAATGTGTAGTTACTGCGATATGCCATTCTATGTGAGTTCTTAGTCCTGGATCAATTCAGTTCTGTATCATTCCTATGGGACGTATACAATATTTGTGAGGCAATCGATGACATACTGTATGTGTGACCCAAATGTGAGACCATATGAAAGAGTCATTCATTTTATTTGTATTGAAAACAGTGTTTGAAAAACGTATTGAAAGTCCGATTCAATTGTCTGTCAAGTGACCACTCGTTTCACTGCACCGACTCTTCACCACTACTTCCCATCACTTCCAACAGGTTTGTCTCAATTGTCTTCACCTACTATCGCAGTGTTGACTCATTTAATGCCAATATTTAACACCAATTATTGTTGGATCAGATTCTTGTGGTGATAACAGTAATCGCATACCTCGTGGGCGTCAGACATGTATAACGGAATCGGTTTACAGACGGCTCGTGGCAGCGGTACCAATGGCTACGTCCAGAGGAATATGTCTTTTGTGAAGCAAATGAAGGATAAGATTCAATACAAGAGCGAAGACGACTTCAAACGTCTGGAGCGGGAGTTGAATAGAGTTCCCAATCAAGAGATCTTAGAGCATCAGAACAAACGACAGATTGAACTCAAATGTCTTCAGCTCACAGAGGATATGGAGAGCCAGGGGTCAGTAATCCATCACTTGCCATACATTCCTCTTNTAATTAAAGTTTCAGAAAATTTATATTACGGGATTACCGGTAATTGATAACTTGTAATACTATATGTGACCAATTATTATTTTTGCATCAAGTGAATCAAGTAACTTAATTATTAATAGCTAATTTCAAGTCTATTAAGTTATAAATAAAATAAAAATAATTTCATTGAATACCAAACTAAACACAATTGACTCAACACTTAGAATTAGAGGCACTAAATTGTGGTCATTTTATGAACCGAAACAAAACCAAAAGGTTAAAACCGATCCGTTTTCAAATGAAACACATTATATGTTTCAAAATATTTATTTTAAATATACAATAATTGAGATATTTATATTTTATTGCAGTCTGAATACGTTTTTTTGTATATTTATTGCATGCATTGACTGCCTTTACGGCAAAATTCAATTAATTGCTAATTGTTTAAAACACTTTTCATATACTTTGTAAGCATTAGCAGTAAAACCATTCATTGAGAGCAACCATCAAATAAGTGATTCTTAGACTCAATCAGATATCAAAGACAACAACAAACGGTGTCTTACTTTTGTGGCGAACCCTCTCTATCCATAATCCACTCCTTCTTCCCGCTGTAGTTCTTCTTCTGATGCATATCTTGAGTCCATTCTCTGCGACGGCTGTCAACCACTCTCTCGATCTCTCCGTCCGAATAGCTTAAGACACCAACAAATGAGTTAGTAATCGGTTATTACGTCAGTGCTTAAGAGGAATGTATGGCAAGTGATGGACTACTGACCCCTGGCTCTCCATATCCTCTGTGAGCTGAAGACATTTGAGTTCAATCTGTCGTTTGTTCTGATGCTCTAAGATCTCTTGATTGGGAACTCTATTCAACTCCCGCTCCAGACGTTTGAAGTCGTCTTCGCTCTTGTATTGAATCTTATCCTTCATTTGCTTCACAAAAGACATATTCCTCTGGACGTAGCCATTGGTACCGCTGCCACGAGCCGTCTGTAAACCGATTCCGTTATACATGTCTGACGCCCACGAGGTATGCGATTACTGTTATCACCACAAGGATCTGATCCAACAATAATTGGTGTTAAATATTGGCATTAAATGAGTCAACACTGCGATAGTAAGCGAAGACAATTGAGACAAACCTGTTGGAAGTGATGTGAAGTAGTGGTGAAGAGTCGGTGCAGTGAAACGAGTGGTCACTTCACAGACAATTGAATCGGACTTTCAATACGTTTTTCAAACACTGTTTTCAATACAAATAAAATGAATGACTCTTTCATATGGTCTCACATTTGGGTCACACATACAGTATGTCATCGATTGCCTCACAAATATTGTATACGTCCCATAGGAATGATACAGAACTGAATTGATCCAGGACTAAGAACTCACATAGAATGGCATATCGCAGTAACTACACATTTATAATTGTAGGAGCTTGCTAATTGTAATCATTTGATTATTGAAATTTGCTATACTGTACATCAAATGATATATTTACAACAATTCATACAGTTTTGTTCACTTAATTCATGCGGTAATGATAGACAATATTACCACAAATTTTTTAAAACTTCACAATTTATTCAATCATTCATTATATTAATATTAAATGTGAAACAAATGAATTACATTTTTAGTAAATGATTTTTAAATTAATTCTTTTAGGAGATTAGAGATTTATATGAAATATATGGCTAAAAAACATAAGTCTCTAGTGTTGGTGTGAATGTGTGTAAAATACAAACTTTTTAAACGTTAAACAAAATCATAATTGTAATAATGTTTCATGATTATAACAAAATAAATTTAACTAACTTTAGTCGTAATGTATATAAAAAGTGTATATTTTGATATAATAAACAAAAACATAAAATATTAATTGAATGATTGGATGAGACATCAGTACATCAGTGGAAGTGGAAGTGGAAGTGGAAGAGTCTTCGGAACTCGTCATCGGCTCTGAATTGTTGCATGAATTGACTCATGTCTTCACTCTGGAAGTTGTTGTGTCTCTGATAGGACTCATACATCGATGCACTGGAAGTGGAGGGTTTGTCCTTCGCTTTGTCCACACTTTCCATAACTTTAAACTTCTTGAGCGGAGGACCAATCACATCATGGGTCTCACTATTCTTCCTCTTTTGAACCACTTTTTTACCACATTTTTTAACCATAGTTTGCGATACAAACGGATTATTTGTTTATTAAACACGATTTGAGAGTTGAGTTATGAGAGGAAATGGCGTTCACTGACTATAGTGACTGTAGGCCTCACTGTCCGCGCACCCAAACTTGATGTGCTCTCAAATCCCTGTTCACTGATTGGTCACATCGTGAGTGACGTCTAATCGTCTCTACTCTCAGTTCAAATGGATATTACTATATGAATGAGAAGTATTGCTAAAAATAAAATCACATAAGACTAAGAAACACATGAACTAAATATAAGTTAGTTTTAAAACTTTATTATTAATCAAAACATTTGTCGAAATATTCTGTAAAAAATTCGTAAAGTTAAACACAAAAGCGATTCAAATGAATATAAAAATAATCAATAAATATATTTCATACAAAATACAATGAAAAACGAGTTTTATTGCAAAAAATAAATAATTAGATAAATAGATATTTAGATCCGTTTGTTGATTACCACATAATTCTCTGCAATTCGTTATTTTGAGGCCATTTGAATGTATTGAATACAAACATATAGAGAGTGAAGGCATTGACGGCCGTATATAAGAGCACTTCGAGGGAAAGGACGGCCGGATTGGTGGGCGCGATGTTGAGCCGCCATATGACGAACGGGACTATAAAATATCGCAGCTCTAAGAGCTTCTGAGGGACTGTCGACACGAATGTGCAGAGGATTAACAGTGTCTTGAAGTGCGCGTCCTTTCGCTGCAGTAACTGAAACATCGAGACGGCTGTGAACACGTAGACGGGAACCACGGCGTACGGCACGACTGACCCCTCTCTGCCCAATATGCGTCTCCATATGTAGAACGTGTAGTGCCTGTTGTCGGCCAACAGGTACGGGTGAGTGTAGGAGAACCTGTTGACCAGCACCGCCATCACGACGACGCCACTGACCACTCGCAGTGGATATCTCACAGATATTGACATAAATTTCTTTATGTTAGCGGACGTGAAAATCCAGGGAAACCCGAAAAATGATACAAAACCCAAAAAGTATGGTATTTGTGCCAAATGTAGGACTGCTTCGTGCGCTAATCGGTCGCCCAAAACAATACCTGTCCATAGATTTTAAGTGATGAGTCAATTGCTGAATACTGTATTAAATCACTGTTTTATACCCTTATTATAGACGAGGAATGCAATGAAAGCGATTCCCAGCAAAGCATATCCGCCGCAGACCATCAAAATCTGTGGCATTGCCTGCAGTAATGACTTCATTAATGATCTCCTCTTTGATTTATCGGGACTTCTGTTCATTATCTTCAATACAAATCAAACAATTAATTCATCAAAATATTAGCAAATAATTCAATTATAAAATCAAAGATTAGTGGAAAGTAAGAGTGAATACCTGTTCACAGAATATCTCAATTGTAAGCTATTATTAATGATTAGTTAGAAATTAATTTAAGACATTGAGGTTAGTATGGAAGCAATGAGTGGTTCGGTTGACAATATAGTGACAAACGGGTGCTTACCTTAAGACTCGTGTGCGCGGCCAAGAAGAAGACCCAAACAATGTTTGTCTGTCTGTAGAGCAGAGATATGGCACCGAATAGTGAGGCCAACCATTGGTAGTCATTGACGTCAAACATATACATGAGTAGTACGAAGAATAGAGACCCGGGATCTGTATAGTAGAGGAATGAGAAGAAGAACAGTGGCGGAAGTGTTGCCAAAGACACGGACGAAAACAGTAACATTAGTCGGGAAGTTCTCTACGGGAAAGACATCAACAAAAAACACACATTTAGTCTAAATTATCATTAATTGCGGACACGATTGACAACAACTATGTGTTAATAAGTTACGGGGAAAGGGATGGCGTGTGGGAGCACTTACCGGTGCGAACCGGTGTATTTGAGCCGATATTAAATACATGAGATAACTGTTAGCGCACGTGAAGATGACATTCATGAGTCTTAGGATAAAAAGCGGACAAATCTTGGTCTCGTCCTCTTCGCCGAACGCATACAACTCGGAGAAGGGTTTGAGGAAACCAAGAGTCGTGAGGTATAGGCCCGGAGGGGTCGTTATCTTCGGGTTCCACTGCAATGCAAACACACCATTATCACCCATTCATCCCATGGCATCACACATCTCAAGACATACGTAAGTGAAGTTCCCTTTACAGTAGGTCTGTGTCTGTTGCACGTGAAAGATCTCATCCATGTAGGGCTCCGGGAGCTCGGAGTTGATGAGTATCATGAGGGCGAGTACGGCAAAGCCCAGGAACGTGCCCATCAGGATCACTATCTTATTGAACATCACCTCCGATGTCGCTTTACTGCCAACGAAGCCGTTTTGTCGCTCATTTGGTGCCATCGCTCGTCAATTGTCTCGTATTGCCATTAATTACACGAATTGTCACTGAAATGAATAGTTTGCCAAACTTTTCACCCGATTATTGGCATTGGATTGACCGAAATATTTGACGCGATATATGAAATACGAGATATTTTTTGAATTACAAATACTTTTTTGCTTATGAGTTGACACAACAAACACTGTGTGTATTGGAAACTGTCATTCAGTGCTACACATATACCCAATACGCTGGATATCCACGTGTAATGCTTTACCAGCCGTAGGCACGCCTTTCCCCACTCCCTTCCCAACCAATTATCGCAAGCTTTTGCAGAAAACTTTTCTAACTTTTTTAATGAAGGTATCATTTAATTATTGTAGTCATGAATTATTTTGTCGTTTAATTACAATTTATTTGTTTTAAATCATACGTTCAGTGGTTGTGAATACAGTACAGTATATCCTTATGAACTCATTTATCATATGTTTTTTAATGACTTTGATTACAATTCATGAGTTGTATTAATATATTACGATTACATACACTTAAATACACTTTAATTATAACAATTTTTATATAATTTATTACTTATTTGCCATACAATTAAGTATTGATTCAATCAATGAAAAAGTATCGACTGTTTTATGAGTACTGTTTAATAGGATATAAAAAATGCTTAAAAAAAGTTTACGAAATAAAAGTGATCAAAAAAGTTTTGATAGGAGTATAAAAACATTTGAATTGCGAGTAAAAATGAATTGAATTCAAAAAAGTGAATTAAAAAGAGTATTGAGATTCAGATATGAATATGAATGCCTTATTTGTAGTGTCGGTCCAACACTTCGATCATTGAATCGGTGAAAGAGAAGCCGTCGTTCTCTTTATTGTCACAAATGTCTACAATTTCGCGGAACTCCGACTCGAGTATGGCGTCAGACATGGCGGCGCCGCTGTCGGGCTCGTTGTTATCGGTGGTGCCGCTCGAGTCCGAGTGGTCCTCGTATTTAACAAACGTCTCTTCGGGCGCCGACGGCTCTAACGGCTCCACACGTATGACATCGTCCACGCGTTGGCTCTGATAGTAGTCGTCGTCCAACTGGTTGTCCACATCATAGCTACTGTGGAAGAGCTGTTGCATCATTTGGACGGGTAGTCCGCAATTATTAGGCATTTTGTGTGAGCACTTGGTGTGTGTGGTGGCACTGCATTCGCTGCATCGCACGGCTTTGCGCCCGAAGTGTATGTTGTCGGCACACGACACGCATTTGGTGTTTGGGATCTTTGTGGTGATCTCCACAAACCGATGCGGAATGTTGTGATGCATGCGCTGCGACCCCAACGACCAGGTGTCGGCCGTATTGTGCACACGATTCTCAACCCTCTGTGGGACGCGATTCCTGTTGTCTGTGAACAACGGCTTTCGGAAGACATCATTGGATTGAGAGTTAAGACTCGAGTCATCAGTTTTTATTGAATTCTTTAATTGAAATACTGAACAAAGAATACATGATTCGGGGGTTAATATAAACTTTGCATAAAAATAGATAAATTCTGTGATAAATGTCTTAAACAGACCTTCATTTTTAAAAAAGTTTGCGTCGCCTTTCAGTTTAGCGATCTCATCGACAAGTCGTCTATTATTAGACTTCTCTTCGGCTAACGCTTTGTAAATATCTTTGGAATCGAGCGGACAGTTAGGCGGCGGACGCGGACTATTGCTTACAAACATTTTGGTTGGGGTTATACTAAACAGTGGCTTTAAATGACAACAAAATTGCGGTTTCAATGGTTAAACAGGTGTTAAACAGTATATATAAATAGTGCGTTCAAATAAAATCTCTTAAAAGTTAATATAAAATAAAGACAATTGATTTTTGTGACCAAATATCTCATGTGTTGGCAATGCGTTGGCAATCAAGTCATGCATTCATTTCTTTACCTTCTTTTGCTTCAAAAGCGAGTCATTCTTGTCTTGGAGGTGATCGATGGCCTTCTTCTGTTGGATCAGTTGCTGATTATAGACATCCCTCTCGCGGTTCATCTCATCCTCCTTCACATCCATCTGATGGTGTAATGACTCGATGCGATCCTCCAGTTCCTCCACTTTCTCGTGCCTATCCTTATAGGCGACGGACAGTTCCGCGTTCTTCATCTTCAATGTGCCGATTGTTGTGATGTGTTTCGCCGCCTCCTCTTTGATGGCAATCAGCTGTTCCTCCAAAATACTGATCTTCGCGTCCAATGATATGATAACCTCATCGTTAGAATACATGTTCTGTTCCTGAACTGAGAAGCGCTCCTCGAGTTCGCGACTCTTTTGGCACTCGTTATGCAACTCCTTCTGAATGGCCGCTAACTTCTGCCTCTCGGTGTCAATGAGGGCCTCGTATTCGATGCGTTGGGCCTCCAATCGGGCAAAGATGTCGTCCCTCTCCTTCAGTGTTGCGTCCAATTTGTTTCGCACGAACTGTAAGTCTTTGCTCAGCTTCTGGACCTCCGAGAGGGTGGAGTCCTTATCGGCCTTGAGTTTCTCCCTCTGGGCCCCAATGCCCACGTATTTGGTCTTAAACTGTTCGGCCTGTTTGTCCATTTCCTTGCACTGGTCCTGAAGTATTTTGTTTGTATTCTTCAGTTTCCGATTCTCGCGGTCTTTGGTGTCGATTTGGTTCGCTTTGGCGGTCAACTCGCTCTCGAGGTTATGGATCTTATCGTACAGATCCTGCAATCGATTGCTATTCTGTTCACCTTTTTTCACCGAATCCTCATATTTTCGTTTCCAATTCAGCTCTTTGTTCAACTGATCCCTCAGAGTCTATGAGAACACATCCGATAGAGAAGTCATTACTTGAACACTTATAAAATACTTTTATTGTTATAATTGTCACAATGATTATAAAATTAAGCAAAAAATACAAATTTAATGAAATGATTAATTAATCCATAAATAAGACATTAAACAAGAGATAAATATCGTTATAATAAATGTGTCAAAAGTTAACTCAATGGACAACTGATTATCGTATGCGTGACTAAATAGGATTGCATTTGAATTTCTAAAACAAGTGATTAAATAAGAAGTGAATCACAAGAATGACTAAACGATTGGCACAATGAGTGCCGATCTATTGACTGTTTGGAGCGACACTTATCTCAACAGCAAATGTCAGATTTGGGATACAATTATAGCCAACCTTTGTCTCATCGCTCAGTTCACGCACTCTTTTCTCGTAATTATCGCGCATTTCCTGCAAAACAAGACAAACCGTTAGGCAAACAAAAGCACTACAAGACAGACACCGGTGATGACAGACACCGGCGATGACAGACACCGGCGATGACAGACACCGGTGATGACAGACACCGGTGATCACAGACACCGGTGATGACAGACACCGGCGATGACAGACACCGGTGATGACAGACCTGTTGATGGAGTTGTTTGGCGTCGTTCTGGTCGTGAAGAGCGCGCAACTCATCGGTCAGTTGTCGGACACTCTTATCCTGATTCCTGATCGTCTCATTCAACTGAATGTCTTTGTCTTCGAGCAGTCGCTTGAGTTCATCGATAGAAGCGTTCATTTTGTTCATCTGATCCTTGAGTTCCCTCTTCTCTTCTCTCAAGTATTTATTGATATCTCGGTATTTCTCGACCTCTTTGCTGGCGTACCGGAGCTCTCCCTTGAGCGCCTTCAGCTCCGACTCGTGTCTCTGCGTCATGTCGTCGTTCAAGGTCTTGAGGGAATGGAACTCCTCTTTGATCTGATCGTGTCTGTCCTCAAACTCATCCAATCGTCGCCGCAATTCAGTCACTTCCGAGGCGTCCGTCGCGTCGCCGCCGACCGCCGCCTCCTTCACGACTCGTTTGTCCGACTGTTTGCCCCTTTTGTTGGCCGACATGATTGCCACCCAATCGATGCCAAGACTATGTGGTGATAATGGATGTGATAATGGATGTGACAATCGGTGGTGCGATCACTGAAGCGGACGATTGTGTGCTTCAAATGAATCACTCATTCAATGGCAACGCTTTCACTCAAAACAAACTCAACTCTCAATAGACTCTGAGATTCAAAACACAGTCTCTCAGTGCTCTCATTGGCTGACACGCACTGCACGAGCAGTAAGCGTTCAGAGCAATGCTTGGCTCCCATTGGTTGCCACCCATGAAGTGAGCGATCATTTAAATCGTTGAATCGCTTATCAATTTAGTGAACAGTATTACAGTTAAGCTTATATTAAACCATATTAACTGTCATTATGTTTTCACCATGGTAATATAGGCGCCAATCAACACAGTAGATATTAATATTATCACCAACAACCTATTTTATAATACAAAAAACTTAGCTAGCTTTATATAACTTTAAACAAAAAACTTTATATAACTTAGCAAGCTCATAGTTATGAATAGACACAATTTACTAAATTAAGTGCTAGAGTATTATAATTGAGATATTTTTGGACACAATTACTCAATCATATGATTATAATCTGTGATTTGCATTCAATTATGAATTTTGTTATCAATTTTTAACTTTAAATATTGTTTTTTAATTGATACAAAACTTTTTGATTATATATTAACATTCAATTTAAATGCAGAATAATTAGTAAATTGATAGTTTGTTTAACATTTAACTGCATTTTAATAGATAATTATTATCAAATACTATATTATTAAAGCCCAGCGGTTAGGACCTGGATATCATCCTATTATTACATAGCCATCAGCTTATAGTCAATATACTCGGGGCCATTTATGTCTATATAATTATGAGTTATTTTTTAATTTAAAAATTAGGTTTTAAAATTAAATTTTAAAATATTGCATAAAATATTAAAGAAATCTATATTTTTTGTTTTAAAAAGTTGTTTTGTTATTAATACATTGTATTTCGGGTTAATAACAAGTTTGATAAAGTTAAAAACTTTTTTGAATTGAAAACAATCGATAAAAATGAGAAATGTATAAAAATATTGTATTTATTTAGCATTCTAAATATATTTTATTAAAATATATACACGTGTATAACATAATGGAGAAATGTTTTAATCAATTTTACATTTTGTTTAATATTAATAGATAGGAAAACAACATTTATTTCTAATTTTAGATAATACTGTGAATACAATATTTGACATTTCAGTCTCTAATCAAGACTTGAGATTATTCTGGGAATTGATCTCTAGTTAAAAGATATGATATATTTCTCTCAGAAGAATAAGAGTTTAATTAATCATTGAATATATAAATACTAAGTTTTAAACTTTATTTTTATGACTTAATTTAGCTCTAACTCTGCGTTAAACTCTCATATAATTTATAATAAAAGATCAGATAATTATTAATTAATTTCTTTGCAAACAGTCTCAAACTTGGGTTCATAACATAAAGTGATTTATTAGTTGTAAAAATAAATAATTTCTGACAAATAAATTATTTTGATATAAAGGCAATGGTCCGCACAAACAGTATCTTCATTTGTATCGATAGTTTGTGGTCCAACCCATCCATAGTCTCGGCGATAAGATCTGTAAACCCGTTATAAATGCGAGTTCATTGAAGTTTCAGAAAGTTTTGGTCCAAACTCATCGCCCAATCAATTAATTAATTAATAATAAACTGCTTTTGTCTGTAAATATACACCCATTTGCAATAAAACTAAAATATAACTTAATATTGAATTATAAATCAAATAAAGCTGAATACTAATGTATTGTAAAATACTGATAACAATGTTATCAGAAAGTGTTTAATAATTAATTGTTTCTCTCAAACCAACAAAAATTACATTTTATGAGAATTTAATATTCAATTATAGTTAGTATTAAATTAAATTATTGAATAAATTGAACGCTAGATAAATTTATAACTATTATTTTAATGATTTATTAAATCGTAAAAAATTTTACTTCACTTAACAATTGACAAAATATTTTATTTCTGTAATTAATAAAATATTATTAATATTATTAAATATATAAAATAATTTAAAATCATTTGATTTATTAAGAAAGTAAACAAACTATAAAATAACTGATCAACTATTTAATAAGTGATGCGAGAAATCGACTTAAATACGAGTCCATAAATAGTACCCAAAAATGAATCAAATGTAAGTCAAAATGAAAACCTTTTGGTAATTAATGCAAACAGATTGCCAGTGAATAATATTTAACTGAATGGCCGTTCAAATCAATAAATTTAAGCTCTATTTTCATAAATATATGTTTTAAATACATTAAATAATCGATTATTGCAACTCCTAAAGCATTTTGTTTTCTAAATGGTTTCAGTCATACAAAAAGTTTTTGAAAAGTCAAATGCTGTGAGAAATCAATTTTAAACGGAATATGACTTTTCTCGTGGAAACTCTTTACTTCCTATTTATTAAATAAGATTTATGTCCATTCATTGAAATTAATTGTATTTATGGTCGCATTATATCACATATATTTTGATTAATTATACACCGTAGCATAAAGTCTCAATTAACTGTCATATGTGTATTGACTCTCGATTTAACACTCAATTAGTTTTTGTTTTATATCTCAAAACAATTTTCAATAATAATTTGGTAATCCAAGACATTTTCCTTACGAATAATTTAAAGTTTTTGATTTCTAAATGTTTTTCGTTATCAAAACCACTAGTTTTGCAATGTTTTCATTAAAGTTTCATTAAATCAAATGTTGGGAAATTCAGGGTAGTGAACATATTTTATAAATAAATTGTTAAAATGAATTGATGATTGCCAACGTAATGACAACTAACCATATGTTTAGATATTAATATAAATTTATACTGTAGCCGTTTAACTAACTCTTTTTTGATATTGAATTATGTTTTAAATTAATGGTTGATATCATCGGGAAAATGTTTTCCATTATGATAGCACCTATAATTTAGTTTTTATTTAAATAAATACTTGCTTACAATGTCTTGAACCGATTATTACAATTTCAATGGTAATTCAATATGTGATTGGAATTAATAACAATAATTTTGTGATAATAATCCTATGTTCAAAAAAATACTTATGAGTGGTATCGCATAAAATTCCGTGTTTTTAAAGATTGAACAACTTTTGGTGCATTTGAGAGATTGATAAGTATTTTGTAAGTTTTATTTTTCATTTCCTCTTCTCATCAATCGTTTTGAAACATTCTTTAAATTCATATTTAAATCCTAAACATAAGTCAAAACTACATGAAATTAGTGATTTTAGTGTTGAGTTAATAATATGTCTTAAATATTTATATATTTCTCCCAAATTCAGGGGGCAGTGAGTATTCAGACATTCAAACATTTCTCGTCAATCACACGAAGAATATATTTATTATGAAATTCCGATTCAAAAATAATTTTTCCAGTGAATTACTAATGAAAATTGCAATAAATTATTCATCACTTATTGAACACTCATTTATTATATAAATATTAAATATGTTTAATAAATATAAATATATTCAACTGCAACAAAAATCATTTGATTTTTTGAATTTTAAATTACATTTTGACATCAAATGTAGTGAAGAGTAGAGGAAATACTACAAGAATTACCAAAAGTTACCCAACGATTAAACGTTGCTTTAATTTCTGTGAAAATTTGCTTAAAAACTTTGCAAATGAAAAAATATTTCTATTAAATATTCACTAAATATTCAGAGGAAAAATACAACGATTGGGGAAATAAATGAATTGACTGTAAATTATGTGAAAATTTTAGCAAAACATTATAAAAAAAGTGTTGATTTTTTAGACGAAACCGGGAATCACATTGAGTTTAATGGTGTGTTTTGACTGTTTCGCACACATTATATAATATGTAGATCTCAGGTGTGAGTCATCGATGATAAAAAACAAGTGACAGAATATTTGTGTGAAAAAGTATTATAAACTTTTATTACGTAAAGAATAGGAGAGAGAGAGAGAGAGAGAGAGAGAGAGAGAGAGAGAGAGAGGAGATGCAGGCATAAAGTCTACCGAAGCATATCTCTCTGTCGTATATTTTTTGTATGCCGTAACAGAGAGCAAAAAGGCACACATTTAATACATTTTAATACCTGTGCACCGCATGAAAGACACTCCCTTTGAGAATAATGTCAGTCCAATAGGTGGAGGGAAACACTGAACGCCTTGGGCTGAAGGGGACAATGATTTCTAGAGTTTGTTGTAAAGCAGTGAATGAATAGTGAGAGAGAGAGAGAGAGAGAGAGAGGAGATGCAGGCATAAAGTCTACCGAAGCATATCTCTCTGTCGTATATTTTTTGTATGCCGTAACAGAGAGCAAAAAGGCACACATTTAATACATTTTAATACCTGTGCACCGCATGAAAGACACTCCCTTTGAGAATAATGTCAGTCCAATAGGTGGAGGGAAACACTGAACGCCTTGGGCTGAAGGGGACAATGATTTCTAGAGTTTGTTGTAAAGCAGTGAATGAATAGTGAGAGATGTGTTCGCTTGCGCTACACTTGAGAACAGGTACTGTACCAAAGCTACCAGTGCTGCACTGCTCACCACTATTGCATACACCGACACACAACTGCCTTTCCATCTCATATCTTCGTCAGTGATTGTCTCCATATGTTGTGCTCAACTTTTTTTGAGAATATATTATATAATAGTTGAGAGAAATCTGTGTCGTTATGTCCAGAACCCGTAACCACTATTCCTATGGATTATTGTGTTTTGGTTCATAAAAAACTATATTATTAATCGAAAATAATAATTATTCTGTGTTTCTCTAAAAACTCTAATAAAAAGTTTTTGAAAACTATTTTTAGTGCTAAATAAATAAAAGTTGTTCATAAAAAAGAGTCAAGTAATGACTTAATAAGACTATAAGCGATGACAAGTTTAATGGCAAATAATGATGCATCAGATGAGACACAAAAACAATGTCACCGACGGTTCCAGTGGTGAGAAGATGGATAAGAATAAGACTCCCAACAGAGACCACAACAATAAGTCGCGAAATGTGGCAAATCTTGACGATTATATCTATGAATTAGAGACTAGAAGTGATGCCAAAGTGAATAACTTTTACAACAAAAAGGATTTAACCATAAATGAGATGTCATGCGAGAGCTCAGCCAACCTTTTATCGCAATTACAGCAGAAGGAAAAGGATCTCATATTAGCCGCAGAATTGGGAAAAGCATTGCTCGACAGGAATGAGGAGCTGAGCAGAGCTAATGAGAAGATAACCGAAGAATACTCTCATAAGTTAGAGGTAAATGTGATACTAATCTTGTATTCAATTTATAAAGCTTTCAATAAAACAATCACTCGTTTTCTGTGTTAAGGCATGAGTTGATGTTTTTGTGGTCAATAATACATAAGACAATTAATTAAATTACTCTCATATTTCATCACATGGAGAGTATTACTGCAAATGAAACCATTGTTTAAAACAATTTTACGATCCATTATATTATGAATTCATTTTCAAAGTTGTCGTTATCTTTATTGCAAACGCTATTAAATATATTACATACCGAGAAATAATAATACTTCAGTCAATGTTTTGTTGAAATGTTTGAAATGTGTGTAAATATATAAGCTATACGTCTCTGTAAGCTATAATTTCTATTTCAAGAATACCTGTATTTCTGTCGATATATTGATTATTTTTAAAAGTCAATAATAATAATAAGAATAATTTTATTATAAATATTAATGAATTAGAGGGCATAGGAATAGGTGTATGAAAGTTGTGCCCAAAAAAGCTTGTTAAATATGATGAGTGCAATGCATGCGATCCTAAGTCTATACTAAACATTCACTTCATTATTTATTTATGTAATGCTATTGACATTTAAGGGCTTTTTATAACGAGATTTGTTGTCATAAAAAAGACGAAAAAATTTTTAAACGTTCAAAAAAGTGAAAAACACACACTTTTGTGAGTGAAAGTCAATTAAAAATTTCATTTACTTAACTGTATAGCTTATAATAGTTTTGAACAAAAAATAGCAAACAATTCCCACAGTAAAACTCAATTTATTCCCACTATTATTATGAAACACGAAAGTACTTGAATAGATATTTATTATTTAATAATTTAAAGAGTTTTTATTAAAAATAAATTTACTTTTTTCAATAGACATGTTTTGCTTCATATTGTATATAAGAAATAATTTATTCATAAAATTTAAAGTTATTATAAAGGGTTTAGAAGTTGTCGTAAATTAAATTCTAATTTATTTTTTATGTTTAATTCTAACCTCAATCTAATGACAATCGATAGCCTCTGTGCACAGAATATGTGAACAAATTTTTGTTGATATAATCGATGATTGCTATGATATGTAATGTTTCGCTAAATTATGATTTTGTTTAAATTTAAAAACCGATAGAATGTTAGATTATCTCAAATATAAATATTTATTGTTTGCAATCGAGAAAGAGTTTCATTAATAGGTATTAGTCATTACACGTTATATTAATATTTTTTGTTGAATAATTTCTCGTAACTTTGGTATTCAAATGAATTTTATTTATGTTTGCCTTTAAATTATCTATAGATAAGCCATAATATTAATTAGAATCTTTTGGTTTTGAGTTACAATAATTGGAAAAAATTAATTATTTGAACCACAAATCTATTTATGGCTTCCATTGATATCAATAACTGAGAAAATTTGTTATAATTCTAGTCTTATCTAAACACTCATCGAAATAATAAAAATCAAATGATTCCCAAAATTGTTTGCTAAATAAATATTCATAAGAAAAATGGAAAAACGAAAACATGTTTAGTGAAAAACACGGCAAAACATTCATTATAATGAGACAAATTGCTAAAAAAGTTACTCAAATGGAAATTAAAGAAAATATAAATACAATTTCAATGAATTCATTAATAAAATTGAATTGAGTTGCTATGAAAACTGCATTCAAAACATTGAGAGCCAGAGCCAGGTGTATATCATAGCACCGGTACTGAGGAATTGCGCGCTAGGGTTACCGTAGTCTCTCTCTCTCTCTCTCTCTCTCTCTCTCTCTCCCTAATATTTTGTATATCAGATGTGGTATTCGGTGGCACAGAGTCTGTGTCCTGTCTTGCATTGCAGAACATATCCTGCAATATGTTTGGTGAGGGGACAGTTGGGTCCTCACAATTGATATATGAAAGGAAATGTTGAGATCCCTTTGCGCTTTGAACTCCCATTTACGGCAATTACAGCAAAATGAATGCACTGGTAGTCACCCTTAGGTTAGCTCATACACCACCGGAACTCTGTTTATATTGATCTCTCATTCGCATAGTATGATGACATTAAGGGGCCAACAGCTGCCCCAAACACCAGATCCCACAACTTATAACAGCTTCTGTTAGTCACGACCCCTCAGCCAAAAAAAGCCAAAAATATGTTTATTCATTATCTGATGAATCAAAAAATCTGTAATAATGTCGTCTAATAGACAGCAAACAAACAAAAATGAAAAGTGTTTTCTAAATGTAATGAATAGATCAGTGCTCATAGATATTGAGGTCTATAATAAGCCCCCAATGAATGAATGGCACGAATCGCCAAAATGAGGTCGAAGTCAGCTTTCGGTAATTGAATGAATAGTAAATCCTTGACTTTCTATGTGTTGTATGAGATAACGAACCAATTTTCTAATTATTGTTTGTTTTAAAAAGCTTATTTCTTAAATGTAATTAATTTGTCGTCAAATATTACGAATCATTTAGAATTTGTAGTTTTCAAAATAAAAATAATGCTTTTTAATGTCAAGAAAAATCAAATCAAATAAGTTCACTGGTACAGTGCATTTAGAGGGGTGTGGGGGTAGGGTGTGTGCACTTGTCCTCACTCATGAAGAATCACAGAATAACTGTCTCATCACATGTTGTGGTGAGAAATATTAGATCTTTTTCGTATGGATTTAGATTTAAACACACATTAAAGTTGATGTTTTTGATCAAATATATGGTATGTGTAGGGATTTAAAAACTACTCCAAAGGGTATTTAAACTGTGTTTTTATGTGAAGTATAGATAAATCTCACTTACCAACATTCCCAATAGACCCTCCGCTCCCCAGCATATAAAAATCATTTTTGAATCTAATTAATTCTTTTATATATTTAAAACTTTTCTAAAGACAATTATAGATTAAAAGCAATGATAGGTACTGTTGTGTAAAGATTGAGGGATACTTTTTGGGCTTCATTTTCATCACAATTTTTCTATTAAATCATTTAAATTATAAAAACATTTTTCGTGAATGAAATTTGGGTCAAATTAGTTGAACAGTTGATATGTTTTATGTCATTGTATTCCATAACACTATTGAATTGCAACACATTAAGGCATTAATACAATTATAAATGAGTGAAATTTAATAATAAAGTGTTTATTTTGCTTTAATTTGAAGTTTTCTTTTATGAAAAGCTAATAGAAATGTCTTAAAAGCCTTTTGAATGGTAAGCATAAACGAATTAAAACATATAATTATACTTCAAACTAATTTATGCTTCATTTAGTCGTTTTTGTCATTAAATGTAATAATTTTTTAAATGAATTCTTATTTTCAAGATTACTGTTGAGTATAGAAATGATTGCAAACAAACGATTATAATGTAATTCAATGTAAAAACTATGCTTTAAAAAGCATTAAAAATAAAAAACACTGAAAAGAAAAATTGCGTTCAAATTGTGTTCGCATTTCGAGACAAATATCAAACGGAAACACTTTATGAAGTTTGAAGTAATGATCATAAACTTTAAATCTGTTGAATAAATTGTCTGCAGAAATGTATGACTAGTACTGCAGTCAAAGAGTTGCCATCAAAGCGTTTAATCCAAATGTCGTGAAGACAAACGACAACTGCTTCCTCTTCTGCCAGTTCTTTGGCGTTACTTTTATTGCAATCTTTATATTACAGTAAATAAGAGACACACACTTTTTGGCATAAATTAAACATTGCATTCAACACATGGAGCCAAACACTTATTAATCCAATAGAAAATGTGGTGTTCAGTGACCCGATTGATAATTAAACACTGCACTCACTGGACGCTAACTACAGTACCCATAGTGTACTAATAGTGTTAATCGATTTTTTATTTCAATTTGTTAATTAGTGATCAGAACCTATTGGAACCGATCGACAAAATTATTCATTTCATGCCAAATCACTGCAACTTTGACTCTCGTTTATTACACATTCAAACGCACTCTTAATTGAATTATAATTTGCAAAATTTTAATTATTTCTCCATTTTCTCTCAATGATAGCTAAACTCTTTTTCGTTGTCTACTTTTCTTACTTATTAAATGTTAATGGTTTTATTAAATTTACTTTTATCTGAATTATAAGTGACACTCATTTTTAGATGTAGTCTCTGTTTTAATACATTATATTATAATATCTAAATGTAAATTATATCCTAAAATAGCCTAAAAGGGCGGAACTTTTATTTTGGATACACTGTTATATAAGGAAAAGAAAATTGGTTTTGAATTTTACTTTTATTTTGAGTTTCTTTTTTATGAGTATATATTCATTACGAGTCTTAGAAAGAATTTCTTAACTATTGTCTGTCATTACAGCCAAAGATGAGTAGATCCAGAAAAAAGTGAAAACTTTTTGCCAAAACAATTAAGCGTTGAAATAATGGATACAAGAATTGAAGTGAAAACAGTTTTGTATTGAAAACAATTTCCTATATTTACGGTCCTTTTTGTCAAGAATTTAATTACAAAATAGAGTTTCACTTCATTTCATTACATCCTTAGTTACTCCTCTCACTAACGCTTATAGTAATTGTCAAAAACATAATACATTAAACCTTTGCCACACTTTATACAAACATTATTATATTGGCTGACATCCCGGTCATCATCATATCAAATGTTATTAATGTAATGAAAAAGCGGATCAATAACTTTGTCATTATATTTGGGCGGATATTCTCATCGAGAGATTGATTAAACAATAATCGGATTTTTGTTGTTATTTTTATTCGTTGTCCGATATAACGGAATATTGCATGTCTTATATAGTATAGCATAATATTATAATATACCTTATTATTCAAGCGATTTGTTTAAAAGATTAGTTTATCGGTTAATCTGCAGTCACTTTCAGTTCAGCAAAATTATTTTCAAAACTCCTTTGTCTGTTTGTTTTCATAGTTATTATAATTACGATTAATACTTTAAGTAAAACCAATTTTCTGCGGATTTAGTGTTTAAATTATTTCATAAGTAAAATACA